TTGTTCTATGTGGTAGTTTCCTCTTCGTTGTGTAGGTCATGTACGATATGGAAGTTGTAGCTGTGAGTTATTTTGAATTTATCGAGTTTTTAGTATCTCGAAGGGAGACTGTAAGAAACCGTCCTAATTCTGTTTCTCTAGTTATCTAGTGCTTCTTTAGTGTGAGTTTTATCCTGGCCACTCTTAGTTGGTGATCTGAAGCTTTGTCAGCTCCTCTCTTTGTTCTTACGCATCTCACTGATCTTCCAATTGTTTTGATGGTGTAAACATGATCGATACGGTTCTCTGTAGTGCCATCTCGCGAGACCCATGTGGCTTTGTTTATGCATTTGTTGGAGAATATGGTATCAACTATTAGCATTTTGTCGAACGTACATATATTTGCAAATCTGTCGCCATTCTCGTTCCTTTCTCCAAGCCTTTGTAGTCCCTTGATATCTTCATACCCTGTGTTGTCCATTCCGACTCTGGCGTTTTGGCCTCCCATTAGGAGCGTTAGGTCTTTTCCTGCGCACTTCTCTACGATCAACTACAGCCTCCCATAAAACTGTCCTTTATTGTCTTCATTGCTATCATTGGTGGGTGCATAGCAGTGGATGACATCGAGTGTGATCCCCTGCTTTACTTTCGAAGATGCTTTGATGAGCCTGAATCCATGAGATTCCCATCCTACATGTACTTTTCGCGCTTCTTTGGACGAAATCAGAGCAACGTCTTGTGTGTGGCAAGCATTTTCTTCGTGAACAGAGTACAACAGCACATCTCCCGAATCTAATCTTTTCTGTCCAATTTTGGATCCAATGGGTTTCACTGATTCTAAGGACCACCACATTTTATCTCCTCCTTTCCACAGCTACTTAGTTGGTCCTCCCAATCTCCCACATTGTCCGAACATTCCATTTACCTATGTAAATTTCTATCATTAAAAGGACGAGTATACTGCGCGGCAGTTCGTTCTGTTTTACTTTACGGCAGCGAAACATGGCCCTTAAGAGTAGAAGACACCCGTAAGTTACTAGTATTTGACCACAGATGCCTTAGAAATATTGCTGGCATCTGCTGGGATCACCGGGTAAGTAATAGTGAGGTTAGACGCAGGGTATTAGGGAATGATGGTAAATCAGTTGATGAGGTTATGAATCTTCATCGACTGAGATGGTTGGGTCACGTATTACGTATGCCTGAACACCGATTACCACGACGTGCAATGCTAACCGGGGTAGGGGATGGTTGGAAGAAAGTTAGGGGCGGCCAAACCAAAACGTGGCATCAGTGCCTGAAGTCACTAACTTCTAGTCTGAGCCATGTTGGTAGATGCAGACTACTTGGTTGGGGTCCGCGTGACTTTCGTAACCAATGGTTGGAGACTCTTGGTGACATGGCTCAGAATCGATCACAATGACGTCGGTGTATACACTCCCTGTCTTCCCTTAAACTAAGAGACTAAAATAACTTCATTCTTTCTGTCTACGAACTAATTCTTTCTTCCTATACTATATCCTTATTGCAACCTTTGACCTAACCACTCCTATGAATCCGCTGTTCATCTTGCTGTGCTAATGAGGTATGGCAACCTGGACCGATGCACATATGTGCCTGGTCCTACGTTGTAGCTGACTGACTGACTGTGGTTGCCCCAGAGATGATGCAACACAGTGGCTTCAGACGTTATCAGACATGGCTCAGAATAGAAGGCAGTAACGATCCTGCTGTAACTCTCTATTACTTTCCTCATAAATGTGAACGTAACTTTCTAGTTGAAAGAATTCTTCCTGGTTGTATTTCTTCTAATTGAACTGCTTCTTCCGTTATTATTATTATTATTATTTCACTCCCACTCACCGATTCCTATTAACTTGTGATCTTATTGGTATATCCACCCTCCTCTGTCTCTTCACAACCTCACTGTCATTGTGCGGCCCAATTGTATTTAGCGAATAAGATTTCCCCGGCAGTGGCTGTATACGCATGGCCATGTGAGAGTATTTCGAGAGGGAGAGCGGACTTTCCACACCCTTGACCGTACCAGGACACTTGAGGGTATTACTGAACGTAAAACAGTGGCAGCAGTAAAACTCCTAAGCGTTCTACTTAGTCCTGGAAAATTCAAGAATATATTTCAGGGACAACTGCTAGTCAACCGTCAAAATCATATCCACCACGAGATAGCTTGATACGATAAACGAAATGCTGTGGAAACGGCAGTGATAACCACCAGAAACTTAAACAAAAATGTTAGGGACAACCAGCCGATTTCAGTGACGTCTACAGAACCGATAGATACTAAGGATCTCATCCTATCTGGCTCCGAAGACAATGAGGGGCTGAGACAGCCCAGACGTAGGCTGACTAAAAGCCTACACAGTGATCGTGAACAATGGTGGGTAACAAAAGCAAAAGAGACGGAAAATCTGCGGCTACATGTAGCAACAGACAACTACTCAGTTATCGAGGAAACCGGTATTAAAAATCTGGCTATTAGTGAAACTACCTCGGGAAAAGACAGGAATATCACTCACTCTCAATCCATGAGATTGGATCAATGTGGAGAACACCTTAGGGGACAGTTCAACTAGCCTTCGATCACACTTCAGTTACCCACTATCTCCAAGTAACCTGAATCGCAAACTGATGTAAGTCGTCCTACTCAGTGAGTTTGAAAAGACTAAGTAATCTAAAGATAGGGAGATCAGCTGAGTCTGATGGACTAAGCCCTGAGACTTTTACGGATGGTAGTCCAGTTTTAGCAGTTTGATTAACTGAGATCTTAGCTAGAATCTGTGGACTGTGAGTAATCCCATCCGACTGGTTTTGATCTCTGATCATTCCAGTTTACAAGGAAGAACACAGACCGTCTAGTTACAATAACAGAGTACTCGAAGAATCGGTCTTATATATTTGGACTAGAGAGTAAAGATTGCCCAGGTTAGGAGTAGAGAACTCGCTAGGAATGAGAAATTGGTTGGTTTTATTGTGAATCTTCATCAGCTGAGGTGGCTGGGACCTGTATTACATGTGTCAACTACCGCTTACCGCGAGGGCAATGTTTTCTGGTGTTTCAGTAGGCTGGTAGAAAGCCAGGGACGACCAAACCATGGCATCAGTCTACGAAGTCATTAACAATTAGACTGACGCATGTTAAAATGATCACGACACCATGTCATACACTACCTCTCTGCTTTTCAAATTATTCAGCGACGGAAAACAATTCACAATGTGGAATTTGCTGGGACTTCATCCCTACCTCATGTACAAGCCACTGCAGTCGGTATTTCAATATGGTGACACTAATTGAATTATCGTCACTGTTGCTGAACACATGTTCCCGAACCTCCACATTATTAGCATGGTGTTTCCATTAAACGATAGTAACCCTTCAGAGAAACCATGATCGACCGAAGAGAGTCGCTTGACATGCTCAACTTGAAGAGATCAGGTTTTATAAACATAGAACAAGACTACTCTCACCGACGTATTGTAGATTCGACCTTCTACAGATATTAGCATTATGGAGGCAACAAAGATGGCCAAGGTTGGCATAAAATGCTCTGGCTTTGATCATACGTGAATTAATCTCATCACTGGCGCCACCACCAGGACTTACACAGCTATCTAGATACACGAACTTCTTGACTAATTTTAACTGCTCGCTGCCTAGTGTGAATATAGGTACAGGGTGCTTCGTTTTATCAATCTTTATGTGTTTAGATAAATAAATACGTCCTGAAGCGACATTTGGGTGGAGTGAAACGTAAATGTTAGCACGGTTGTTCAAGACGGTCAGAAGACTCTATATTATCTCAGTGTCTTCACCGAATTGGACTATCATCTGTATATCCCAACTCGACAAGTTAGTCTCCCGATATATTTATTCCTGCAAAGTTGCACGATGAGAGCGTTGCCTTTAAAGAAATGTTTATGGCCACTTGTGTTCAAATAGAAAGCCTGTACTCGGTTAATGTAATTTGGTATGACACTGTCATAAAACCTTGTCGATCAATGGAGTTAAGTGCTACCCTAAAAATTTCATGTTCTTAGATGTAAGTCATGCTCACAATTTGACTTACTTCAAGTCACGAAACTTCAAAGATACATTTCTCTAATCATTGGGTTATCACAAAAATATGTTTATTTGAAACTATCAATTCCAATCTCGGCATTTATTAAATGAAGCTTTCCTTTTAGAGCATCTCGATAGTCAAGTATTTTGTTGTTAAAATGGCCGGTACCGTAAGTATGATGAGTGGAAAAGACTTCCTTTTTAGAATCCTGTTGACCACAGAAGAAAATGGGACAAAGCTCATTTTGAGAAATTGGCGAGTGATAAACTTAGCAATGAGTTAGAAGCTATGCGAAATGCTCGAAAAGAAAAGGAAACTATGAAAAAGGAGTACTTAAAAGCTCGTGATTATACAGTAGGTCTTCCTAAAACTATAAAAATTATATCATACAGATTGACCTGGAATCTAACCTGAACAAATCTCAAGTTATTGCAAAAACCGGACCAGGATCTTCACAAGCAGGCTACTACTGTGAAGTTTGTGACTGTGTTGTGAAAGATTCAATTAACTATTTGGACCATATAAACGGTAAAAAACATCAAAGGAATATGGGAATGTCAATGAGGATTAAGAGGTCAACTTTAGAAGAAGTTAAAGAAAGGTATTACTGTGGTATTATAACTCTGCTATAGGTTTCAGCTTCACAAGCAAAAATCCGAAGAAAAGGCGGAAGAGTACAGTTTAGATGAAAGAATGAAACAAATTGCCGAGGAAGAAGAGAAATTTAGGGCTTATAAACAAGAAAAACGCAAAGAGAAAAAGCGTAGAAATGATGAACAGTTTGAAGATTCTGACGTCGCAGCAGCTATGGGTTTTGGTGGTTTTGGTAAGAGATCAAAGTGACCGTTGTACACATTTGTAAATAATCAGTTCCTGTAATTGTGTATTATATTTAAGTGAACGATAAATTTTATACTTCTAAATGGTTTTTTTGTTTAACTTTTTCCTCAGGATTTATAACATCATTATGGATCCGGACATCTTAAAGCTTGCGACACACTTTACTGCAGTCGAACCGCTTTCAAAGATGTCTTATGAACTTTACGAAGTGTTATTTTAAACGGAATCATTTCTAGTTTTAGCTAAATTTATAGTGGATGGATGACTGCCCACGATCATAGATCGATTGAAGCTAGACACTAACGTCATTGGCTTCCGGCTCAGTGGTCTGAAGGTTAATTGTTCGCACGCGAGATCGAAGGTCGTGGGTTCTAGTCCCTCATGCAAGATAATAGATGTGCACTGCCAGGAAAAAGTGGCCGTCCAGTGCTACCAAGTTTTCAATGGTGGTATAGCTTAGATCGACTCATGAATTCAACTAGTAAAATTACTACAATCTCCATACCCCAGTCCTGATAAATGGACAAAAGTTCATCTCCTTCCCTTGTTTTATATTATGGTCTCATTGAACCAAGTGGAGTTCTCACAAATTTTCAGAGGTTAATTTTTGGAAGATATAATAGATAAAAAGGGTAATTGTTAGAAAATAAATATACTTTACTTTTTAGTAATAAAATAAATTATATATGATTAGTATCCTTCCCAGTAATATATAATCACAGCTTCACTGTTGCTTCAACGTATTCCAGTCAACCATATAATTGATCTACTTATATTGTGTCTGATTCCTCCAGTTTTTTGTTCTTTGTTTTCTTTGAGCATTGAGTTTAGCATCACGGAACAAAAATAATGCACAGATCAAAGCGCTTATCTGGATTTTAGAATTCAATCAGAAATTTTTATTATATACATTGGTTGCGAAAACCGTATCTAAGATGGTAGGTCGTAAGCAACGCCAAAAACTACTACATTATTATTGAATTAGTACAAAATAATATAGATTGACAAAAGGATGACACACGGAGGTAATATCTACGCCACAAAGTCAGTTTCAATAGAATAATTTATTTGCTCAGAGACAACCTGTTTAACCTAAAATCGCTGTCACATATCAATTTAAATCAAAGGGTATAACCAAGCAATTTCCGCTCTATGAACTGAGTGGTTCTTTGTGAAGCTCTCACTATCTTTCCAATTAACACCACCAGCACAAACTTTAGATAGAAATGAGTTACTAGGACTCCTTCACGTATGAGTTACAAATTTCCATCTAACATCCAAGCACCTTTGCTTGTCCGTAAACTAAAGTACTATGGAACTAACAACAAATAACGACTCTAAAGTGTGCTAGTCCCATTCTTAGAGCCTTTTGAAATGTTTTGTTTCATGCGATTACCATTCACTTACAATCAAATAAGTTCGTAAAGTGATAGAACGTTTAGACTGAAAAATAGCCCGGTATAACCATTTTTCCAAATTTTGTTAAAAGTGATTGTGGTCATACAGACGTTTGATCTTAGACTTTTCTGCACATCAAATCTTACCAGTTATTATATCGATTAAGAAATATGTTATTTTGCAGATCGGTTATAATGTGAATTTAGTCGAAATCAGTTCAATACATTTATATAATATGATATATGCATGTTTATGTAAATACTAGTTTTTCAGATTATAACAACCTTCCATCTCAGTCATAATTTTTTGTTGAATAGATTTTGGTCATCGATGTCCGTGACTTTAATAGTCACAAACCATTCATAAGAAACCTGACGATTACTACATTTGACTTATTTTGATTCAATCAGCGTTTAAGAACTTAGAATCTGGGTAGTACTAATAACGTCAATTCATAAACTGTGCTCTGAGCTAAGTACAGAAATGTTTACTTGTTTGGTTGCAACTAGTGTAATTTTCTGTGGCACTTCAAATATTACGAGATGGGAGTTTGTTAGTTGAGAAAAAGTAAAAATTAATTCGGTTACAACAGCAATTTACCTATTAGAACCAAACTTATGTGTTTAGAATTACTTAATAAAAGTACAAGAATTGGGGTAGACTTTGATTGCTTTCGACATTCCCGGTGAAATGTATCAAGGTTTATGTTTGGTGATTTCAAAGAAATGAGACAGTACATTTAGAAAATATTAGTAAGTTGTGGTATTGTGAACACAAAGACTATGTCCGACCAATGAGCTAACAGGTGAAATCCGCCATTTGTCGAATGCAAAAGACTTCAACGATAACCGAAGAGTTTATTTTCTATGAAAGGAATGTAAAATTTCAGCATATATACATGTCTTAGAGTATACCTAAGATAATGAGTTCGTAATTAAATCTGTAGAAGTAACAACATATCTAGTTTTTGAGTTTGTTCTTTCCTCGAGTTAGCTAGTTCATAGTCATATACGGTAGCTTGCGATTTTAAAAATACAAAAATTCCTTTACTGTCAGATGTGATGTTTGGAACTTTATTTGGATTGGCGATTACTCATCCGATAAATCTCCAAAAATCTTGAGATTAGTCAACCTATACGAGTAAAGTGCTTTTTTGCGATTGGTATTTCGAGCTGGCTGTCTAGATACTTAATGGATTTAAGAATATTTTAGTCAAAAAACTTCACATGAAGGCCCGTTAAAAAATTTTGGCAGTGTTTACTAGTATTTGGTTCTCACCAGTTCCTTGACTTATATATTGTCCACCATCGTTTGGATCGTCATTTTCGTTAATTTTCAGTCATATAATCGCTGAACTAGTGTCCATACAATTTCCGTAAGGTGCAAATACGTGCGTATTTTATCAAAGTTTTACTGGGTTGGTGTATTTAAGTCTTACTATCTAATCGGCACCTGATTTATAATTACAACTCCGTAACTAATACTTCGGTTGTACACAGATTGATTTAAGAGAAAATTTAACTTACCAAGATAATGCACGCGATCAGTGCCAAGAGGCCAACAGCCTTAGCATAATTATTGATATAACTTTTCAAACTTTCAAAGCATCCCTAAACAAAATTAACATACTAACTGTAAAAAAAATTACTGCATAGTAAATAGCGTCGTTGTGAGGTCCACTGCTTTTATTCGGTGGTCCGTACTGCCACGTCTGGCAGCGTCTCCTATCCCGGTATACTTCAGTTGGCCAACCAGTCAACCCATCAAGTTTCTTGACACAACAAGATTCTGGGACAAACAAGTAAAACAAACTTGATTCTTTATCATATGTCAATCACGAAGTAGTCTTTATATACCTGACAATTTAGTGTTCGTTTCGTATAAATCCGAGTTTACAATCATGTCCCACCACGATCCGTTATACACACCCCATCCAATGTTATCCACTCCACAGCAACGTAGGTGCCTCTGTACCAAGTCCCATGCATCAGTTATAATCCCATATCGTCCATAGTGATTCCTTAACGAATCTACCATCACACTTCTAGCCGATTCACCAAGCTAAATTGTAAAATACGTGACTGTAAAGTTTTAAAATTCACTCACTGAACTTTTAAAGGACAAAACTATTATTCCTGATATCAACAAGAGTAATGCGAGTAAGCATAAAATGAATATATACTACAAATGTTCGAAATTTGATTATATGCAAATCCTACTGACACAATCAGGCAGATATTTTCTCTATCAGCTGCGATGTAACCACATAGAGCTACGATTGTAATAACAAGTCCTAAGAAGATGACTATGTACACTCCAGACGAATAGAGTGAGGTTCCAACAACTTCAGACATATTTCCATGGTCAACGACACATACAATCCCAAGGGATATTAAAGCAACCCCAAACAGCTAAAAATCAGTTAAGGTTTAAGATACGAGTGTTACTATGGAAAGTCCGTTCAGGACAAACAGAATGAGTGACGATGCTCTACCGGAAAGACACCGGTACATTCTAATCTCAGTTAGAACTTCGCATTGTTTATAGTACGACAACCTTGATAATCAGAGTGAAGAAACAAACTTCGGGAGAATTTAAGGAACAAACGTCTTATTTCAAAGCTGGAAAATGCCTGTCGAAACAGTAAGTAAGCAAAGCCTGAGAAGATTATTAAGGTTCTTTTTTCAAATTCATCATACATCACGGTGGCATCCAAGTTTAAATGTTTATCTAGTCTGAAGATGGGTTGTGTGTCTGATGGACTGGTAAAGGACTGTATGTCAGAGAATCTGGAAAAGAGAAAGATGAAAAGAATATTTGGATGACTGGGTGAAAAGTGGAGGTTCATTTAAATTAATAAATCCAACCTACTACAGTGGGAAGTTTGAAAATCCTGATTGTCGAAACTGTGATATGATATGAAAGTATTTCACATATGTTACATTATATACTGTACTTTTTAGCAGGTATACGTCTGATCATTCTGCACTGTCTTGATAACTGTGATGAATAATTCGGGGTTTTCAATGAATCTCTCAATGGTCTCTCTTGATTTGTTTATCTAACCGGCATGACATTTTTGGAACCTGAACATGCGATAGAATACTGTGTGTAGTGAAGGGCCCTAATATTTCTTGTTTTGATCCAGCTGAGAGACCCGAAATGCAGTGAAACGTTACCGAACATTTAAAAAATCAGGTTGAACCGATTCTACGTCAATCGACGTATCACTAAAGTTAGACAGTCCATCAAACATAGTTCGGGTTAAATAATGACGTATACGATTTAGTGAATTACACGCCATGGACAGACGATGTGATACTGGCTTCTCTTTCTACTTCTGCGACCTGTTTCCATCAACATAAACTGTTTTTTATGGAGGCTATTTATACTCACCAGTCACCTAGAAATTCGGTTCACCTGACTATTACAATAGAATAACCGAGGTTAAGTATTAACCGCGAGGAGTAACTTTGACATGAGCTAAGAGATCGCACCACTCCCACCCAACCATAGTTAACCAAAATTATATAAACTGATCACTTTGGTGATCTGCAGTGGTGATCTATACTTTAATTAACTCCGTCAACTCCAATCACTAGCTTTCTCTATGTATTTGGAAGCTAGTTCTTATTAAATGAGTCTGTCAATCACAGTGAACATTCACTTTCTTATCTCAATATTGATTTGTACTTAAATTTGACTCACCACATCTATCTATATCAAAAACCGATTATAATCAGCTACCATGGTACTTCAAAAATTACTAGTTGCTTACAAATGCTCCTGTATGATATGTCAGTGAGAATACAAACCACCTGTTATTATAGCTGCAAGGTAATATGAACTTTTATCGACACGTGATGTATGCACTTAGTCTAAATAAGACTGGACAGGTCAGCGATTCTCAATTCATCTTACTGTCTTTTTATCGTTCTGATGTGACTATTTTGGGCCGGCGGTTATCCCTCGTTCTCTTGATAGAAGAAACCAGACTAGTAGTAGATAGGTGTTTATTTGGATCGTGGGATAGCACATAGTGGAGTAGGAGGTTACCTATTCAAACACACAAAGTTTTTGCCAAAATTCGATGTAAGATAATAGGAAGTATCATACGTATAAAAAATAGGGAGGTCAATGAATGCTTGAGGTTTATCGTTTTAACAGACACTAAGATGTTTCAGGACAACTCTTAACTAATCAACCCAAGTTGTTACAACTACTCCTATATCACTACTGATCACCCAAACCCATAGTCAAACAGAAAACGCGAATACCAGAAATTAACAATCATTCGTCCAGTCAATTCTATGGATTTACCTTGGATTCGTTTTGGACCTTTAGTGAATCAGCCCAGAGTTTTAAGATATCCGAAAAGTAAACTTTTAATGCCTTGTATTTAGCATAGTTTTTTCTAGTGTTTATATCGTATTGAACCAATAGCTACTCTAAATACGCACTATATAAATTTAAGTATATTCAAGGCGATATCTGTAAATTCACTAGCTGATTTCCTACTATAATTATGACGCTCATTAACATTTAGTATTGACTTACACAAACAATCATCATATATTCTACCACTCTAAGCACACTGTAGTAGAAACTGTGTACACTAATGTTCTGCGAAACAACATACTATGAAAAAGCATAGTGTATGTAAAAAAACCCTCTCACATTAAGTCTTGATTGGAAACTTCCTCGTACTACCATAAGCAAAATGCTATTTATGCTGGACGCCAAACGTTTACTCAGGCCTTTTCAAAAATCAATACATTACCTTCACCTTCTAAGTTCATTATGTAGAAATGGAAATACTAGTTGTGTCGTACGGCACTTCGAACACCTTGTGTGACCGAAGGTTCACGCAGTTCACAGACCATAAACTATTTAATTTTTCTCTTAGCTCATCTTCAGACAAGTATTCTCCTCGAAAGTTTCTAAAATTCCAGTGAAGTTCGCAACTTACTCCTAATATACGACATGTTTCTAGAGTGAACAGTGTAGTAGTAGACACTTTGTCTAAATGAAAACACCAATCTTCAGCACGAGTTGTTTTCGACGGCACTGAAAGTACCAATCAAACGGATCAGAATAGATAGTGGAACATTATCGACGCAAGGTCTTTAATACGTTGTACAAGCTTACTCATTCATGTGTTCAAGCGGCCATCAAGATCTTAGCGGGAGGTTTTTTCGGCCTGTTATAAATATAGACGTGATGGAATGGCCACACTCTTGTTTGGGTTGCTAGAAATTTCAAGTGTTTAGACACGACAAATGCCACGCACTTTCCGCAGCGACTGACGCTCGTGTCGACCACTTTCATTTCGATTTGGTAGGGTGCTTATCGGAATCAAACGGATATTACTGTCCCTAACGTTTGTGGATCATCTCATATGTTGAATGCTGCAACAGTGGCTCGCGCCTTCGACGAACGATGAGTAGAAAATGTCGTCTCCCCTTCAACCCTCACTTCACAATATGGACGACAGATGGAGTCTGGTCTTCTCGTTGTTACATCACACCACCAGCATTCATACAATATTGAACCAACACCTAACACCCATAAGAAAACTGATTGGCAAAACGCTTTCACAGTCAGTTAAAATCTTCACTCGCATCTGCAAACATATTACAGTTGACTAACGCTCTTCCACGCATATTACTCGGTATTCACAATGCAGTAAAAACTGACGTTGTATACACCAAAGTACAACTCATTTACGGAGGGACACTCTGACTTCTAGGAGAGTTCGTTGATCCTTAATCTCCTTCAATGAATGTGGACCATCACTCATACATGAACACACCTACAAACGCAAAGCGTTCAGTCATACCTGCTCCCACCCGATCGCACTCAATTGATGTTAACGTTCATGACTCCCCAAGCCTCAGTGAAACCGTCTTACTAGGTCGCAACTCACTGTGCCCACTCTATGAAGCTGCATATAAAGAACACTATATTGTTCTCCGTAGCCAAAACCAAGTACTACACGATTAATGAAAACGAAGTTAAAGATAAAATAATCTTCGACTGGCCGAGAGATTGCAAAAAGAAATTCCGCTGCTATGAAGCAATCCTGGATACTTAAGGACTACGACAAAACGTCAGGCAAGCGTCTGAAAATGACGCTCATTGGAAGACTTTCTCGGTTCCCAGAAGACCTGGACGACTACTGGATGTAAGACATTGTATAGGCCTTTTTCTTAGTCTTCCGAGTTGATTGCACCTTAAAGTTTCCCTGTGTAAAGAAAAAAGGTGGATTTTTTGGATATGTCTTTTTATATATCGTTTGTAAATAAATCATTGTTTCAATATCTATGTATGATTAAAGCTTCCCACAAAACGTCCAAAAAATACATCATGTGTAATCTCTAGCTTGTTGGTGGATGGCATATTGATCGTTGCCGTGGTTCCGTTGGCTCGGATCTTCGACGCACTTCGTCGATGAGCGGTCATCCCTGGCTCTGATTTTTATTAATTCGGTCGTGTATTTTGTTAAGACATAACTCAGTGTCTTCGTTGTCTCCACCTTCAAACGCTGACGTTTAAATCCAATAGAAGTAGTGCAAAAAATATAAAACTAACAGAAGCGGTGTCGCCGATAGACTCTATGAGTCGTTGTACTAGTCTAAGAGGAGGGAGATCCTTCGGCAAATATACTGTCTGAAGCATTGTCAAAAGGTTCGAGGGATTCTTCTCAACCGTATAAGCCAGTTCACGGATAACTTGTGCACTGGAAAACTCTGATGTTTGGGAGCTCTCCTGACCAGTTAAAGTGAGAAATTGAAAGTGTTTTTCAATTTCTGTAAAGAAATTAAGCAGTTTTACTATACCTTTAGTGATATTCACTGACGAGACACATCTCAATATAAGTGCACACCAGATAGGCTTGTAATGTCTTATGGTTTTAAATTACACCTGGTTCCCAGTATGTGACAGATTACCTAAGTGATGAAACGATAATCACTATATATTGGAATCATCTACCATAAAATTACCCCCACTTATTTTCATCAAACTGCGTCTTTCTGGTGTACTGCCTCTCAAAAATAAATAACATTCCTTAAATATTTCTCAAGATGTTGTCTTTACTATTAGTTATCTTCATAGCAGTGTGATATACTAAATGGATTTCTAACCCACAATACAAAATCTTTAGACATCTGATTTGCTTGTAACATGGGGCTAGTAGAGATAGCGTATTACAACAAGGAGCTTTAAATAAAGCAGTATTCATATAAACCACGAACGTGAGAGAGCGTAACATCACAAAAGGACGGAGAGTAGCGCTATTGACCAACCAACATTTTGGTGGGTAGATAACTTCGATCCACCCATTTTTGTAGGGCGGAACAATTTCTTAACTTACGGTGATGTCACGAACCAATGATATTGGTGCTAGTTTATTATACTTCGACAAAAAGGGAGATGGCCATTTGTGTATCAGAATACTGTTTTCAGTACTATATATTAATACTTCACGCAATCCTATACTCCCAGCTTCTTTTTGAACGACGTCCATTTATACAGTTCTTTATTCATCCACACCACATTTACGCGTGTTTTATTTAACCTACTAGAATTCTCTTGATTAAAAGTACCTTCTCTTCATTTTTTTTTCTTACTAAATTTTTCAACCCTCTCATGATATACCAACGAAAACGGGTTACGTCATTAATTTCTATCTTGAAGACGGGATTTACTATGGTGTTCTTCTGGTGTTTTGGCAATCTACCCTGGGTTACGGATAAGTTAAAACATATACTCAAGAAGTTCGCGACGAAGTTAGCTAGTTTCTTTGTAACATAGGATGCAGTTCATTGGGACTCGTGGGTTTGCCTTATTTAGCAAACCAAAGACATCGAGTTCTTTATTTGTCACGTCGTCCAACATGTGTGAGGGGGATTTCTATGAACTGATGGGAAGAGTGTCTCTACGGTATATACATTGCTACAGTCGTTTCAGAATACTTGAGCTTTAAGATAATCGTCCTCCATTTAAGATGAGGTAGTACTGTGTCCCTGTGGTGCTGAGATATTTCCTCTTCTCTTAGTCCTTTGGTTTATATAAGAATACAAATGTTTAGGGCATTCCACAGATTCCTTATTTTTTTTCGTACAACCTTCTAGACATGCGAAGTGTGGACACACAAACATTTCTAGCCTCTCGACGTTGAGATTTTTTCCCATCAGTACACCGTACCCTAAATGTTTCCCACATTTTCTCCCTTTTACGGAGAAGGGTGCGAACCTTCCTACAGAACCACGGTGAAGAGTTTGCAAGAGCCTTCAGTGAAGTCCAAGTATTGTGGGGTGCAGTAACTTTTAAGTGCAAATTTCGAAATACATCCCAAGTTATCTATATTGGTGACTGTGACTAGATTGTCCAGTATATTGACGATGCGGAGTGTATAATGTGTTTTACATTTGATTTCCAGACGTTGTGTCTGGGTTTTACTGATGCGCGCTCGTTTTTGAGAACTTCGTAGAAGTCAAACTTTAAAACTGCATGATCACTCCGTGCTGCATCCATTGTAGCTTCGTTATCATTCTCTGTCGAGGTCTCAAAACCTGAAAATTAAAACATCTTATGTCTTTTTCTCCAGCGTCCAACCTCGGTTTTAGTTCTTCTTCAGCTTCTAGTTTTTCACACAGTTCGCAAGCGGCAAGTCCTCACGGACAAAAATTCCTGGCCCTATTATTTTGTGTCACTTCAGTAGTATTAAGTCCCGTTCATTAAGAAATTTAAATTCAACTTTAATTTGATTATGTTCTAAAGTCATTTCGCTACCTCGTGTATACACCTTAAGGACAGTGACTTCGGGGATATTTTGATCTGTTACTTATTTGAACATATAAATATTGGTACAAAGGTGCACTAAATACATAAGCGCCACACAAGTCAATTGATGTGTGTGGGCTGTGAAACTACTCGACTGCGCAAGCCGGAGTAAGTGATTTTCTCAGAAGTCCACAGCCGGGGCCTTCGACCTAAAGATGTGATAAACAAGGCTGCGGGAAAACTTCAGGAGATGAAGTCCCATAGTAGCCGAAGACAAACAACAGGTTCACACGCCTCTTGGTCCCCCAAGGTCCTGGAGCCCATGTGCATTGTTGGTTTGAAATCAGAGTTTTCCGACCCCCTGTTTGAATCCTCCGTGTCCACTAACTTGGTCAAAGCGAGGTACAATTGCTAACCCTGTAGTATCCAGCTATCAAACAGAGGTTTTCAAAAAAGAAAGTAGGTACGATAATACCCAGAAATTGATGACCGAATAATTGGAAAACTGCAAATCGTTAGAATCAGTAGTGCCAAGAAATACGACAGTAACAATGTGCTCATAAGTGCCGGCAACTAACTACTTTGATATTGGTTCATAACAATAGACTAAAACAATGAAATTTGCTAAGTGAAGAAAAACACTCCTATCCTTTTAAAATAGTGCGGGTGATGGACATTAACACGTGAATGATCGAATAAATAAAAATGGCTGCAAACATATGGTTGAATTTCAGTTAAAACTGTCGTATAGAAATGAAAAAGTTTGACTGCTAAGTAAAATGCAATGAATGACATTCATTTCATATCTTTGTTATATCAATTCAATGAATCTATCATCTGTTCGTATTTTAAATGTCGCCGTTACAGTTCGTCTTCATTGGATGGATGCAACTACGCCGTGAACATCCTTAATTCCACTTGTAAAATTGTGTTTCTACGTGAATTGGCTGCTGCGACTGTGATTATCCACCTTTAAACATCTGTAGAAACATCAATAACAGCAAAGTGTTGCTACCTTAGTCATGATTTGTTATATTTTTGGTATTATATTCTGCACTTGCAGTTGTAAGCCTCAGTCAGTAATTATTTTTAACAGTGTTTTCTTTGGCTGTGTGTAGTGAAATATGCGGTGCGACTGACGAAATCTTGTCTTGTTTCACAAAGATATTATCTTATGAAGCAATTGAGGACTTACATCGGAATCTTGATGGTGATAAAAATGGAGAAGTCGACCATTTTGAAACTGAAAAGGTAGGGCGATTCAGAATGTGTTTACTTTGTGTTATACGACAAAAAGCGCCTCGTAGTAAATGAAAAGCGTCCAGTCTCCACTCGTGAAATTTTATCTTATGTTTATAACTAATTCTAAGGATCAGCAGAAATAAACATTTTCGTGCTTACTTGTCATGTTGCAGTCTGTTTTTGCTGTTAGGAGAACTATAAAAAGTTAAGCCAGAACATTTGTAAGTGGCATGACATGTATTTAAATCGAGTTGCGGGTTTGAAAACTCCGTAGTATTGTGCGAATTTCGAAGCTTGTGTTCCTTAATTAGAAATAATCACTCTTTCGTTGCTCTGATGTATAGTACTCTGGACTGTGGTGCTTTGTTTATTTTCATAAAGTGGTTGAATTTAAATTAAGTACATTATTCTTCACATTGAAGTATTGCACCTAACATAAATATACAACTGCAAACTACCTGGTTTATTCATCACTTAAAAACATGTATTTTGCATTTGGAATGACATATATTTGGAAGTACTTGGCTGTCAATTGATTTCCGAATACCTACATATGACGGTTTACAAGAAAAAAGAAGACTACTTATCTGTTTCTGAGGCTAGTTCTTAAATTGTCCTTTTTTAAACTGGTCCTACTCATTCATTGAGTACAAGGTTATAGACGTGTCTTTGAGGCACAAGTTTTGCTTAGTATAACGACCCTGCTCAGATCAAGCTGGATGGTCGTAGTTAGTGGGAAACGACTTTGTGGTTAAGGCGTTTTACTTTCAACAACTATATCCCAGGTCCAAACTCCTCTTCATGTAACCTAGTTTAGGCAACCGAGTAGTATTATTATCATCCACTTAGAACTTGGCTTACATTCAAGTAGCTGGTGATTTAGCTTAAAAAACCTACCTCGACGTCTGATGTGGGCTGTATAGGAATAGGGTTGAAGTTTGGATATATGATCAGTTCATGAAGTCATTAACTGTTGGTATGATCCATTTCAGTAGATGCAGACTACCTGGTCGGAGTCTGCGACAGCTGTGAATAGTAGTTGGAGACGTTAGGTGACTTGACTCCTTATTAGTCAGTGGCGCAGATGCGCCAACTCTTGTCTGTACTTCTATGCCGAGTTTAAAGACCACTTCATATTTTCTTATTCACGAATTCGTTCGCCAAGTATTTTTCACCATTAGTGTTGTTATTGCTACTTCGGTATGGGTCTTGGTAATTTTATGTTGCATTGATGTGGTGTGGCAACCGAGATCGACGGGCGTTTGTGGCAGCTGCTGGGTTGTTTATAACTCATTGACCCCGCAGACATACCAGTTAAGTTGTTCAAACCCTACTTTGCAGCATCTAAAAAATATTGAAAGAAGACCGATATTTAGTGTCACGATGCAACCCTAGGCTCAGGAACTTTTATGGATGGTTGCCTTTTTATTTGATTATCTACGATCTGTTTCCTTTCGGGCTATCTTGGCGGTTTTTTTTAAAGAGGTGGTTTAGTTTTTTGTAAATATCCTAAATGAAAACTAGTAATTGTTCATAACTCCTTTTATGTTGACTGGTTATACCATTTGTCAAATTTGATCTCATTTAAACTGACTTGGAATGAATAGGTACGCAATATAGTTGATGTAGGTCCCTTCCAAAGTTTTATCTGTCTAGTACACCATATGTAACTCTTCAATTTCTCAAGATTTCTCAGTTCTACCGTTTTATTTAAATAAACTGAAGTACTAGACTGTCTAGGGGTGGCGTAGTGGTTAAAGCATTCAGTTTCAAACCATTAAGTGATTGCAGGTTTTAACATCCATCCACTTCAACTTGGAAAATCAAGCAGCACCTCTAGCCGTTACACAAGTCGGACTTAAACTCAAGCATATGACCATACGTTTGGTGAATTACATTATTTTTGTAGCTAATTTTTGTGTCTTGCTGTAATAAAAACAAGAATTAAAATAAGTTTAGCTTTCGATCAGGACAATTTAGATAGTAGCAGGCTTCTTTTGTGAAGCTGGCAAAATCGTTATAAGTCGTTAATCAGAGACAGTACCGTTAGTTGATTTTGAATACGTTGATGTAAATGTGTAAGAATATTGTGGAATGTATGCTTTTTATTCACTTGTTTCTCGTTCTTCCTAACATATTATGATTTTTGATTTCTTTCTGTTTTGTTGGAAACTTTGGGTTTTCAAGCTATTGCATTAATCTCCCAAAAGGATTGTACTCGTTTGTGCACAGCACATATCTATTCACTTGTTCTAATGCATCCATACAGTTCTCTAGATAATACATATGTTTTGCAAATATGTTTGAGGTGTAGGTTTACATTTTATCACGAATCCCGTAAGACGCGTACAAATGTCTCACTAAATGTTAATCAGTGCATGTTATTATTAGGTGTGATGTTAACGACTAAGAGTAATCCTTCGTCTAACGTTTTTTGCTATAGACTACATTCTGTGTAGTCCTTTTACTATGTGTTCAAATAAATAAACAAATAAATTTTACTAAGCTTTCAGATGTTTGCTTTTCTATTTAGCTACAGTTTTTTCACATGTTTTTACTGTCTGAAACTGTATGCATCTTTTGAAATTCAAACTACTATTGATTTTAGTTTTTAAGGAAAGAATTCAATTCGGGCGATGCTGCCAAGAAATCACGTATGTTAAACAGCGATGATCCTCTTATTAGTCTTACAGACTTGTGGCAGATGTGGAGAAATAATCCTGGTAATTTGGCTCTTAATTTTTTATTGGTAGAATTGTTGAAATGGCCCTACTTCTCTAACAGTTGCCATTTTTGTTGAGTTGTGCATTGTCTTTCTAACTATTTACGATGTATTAAGTTTTTACTAAGTAATCGTACTCTTATTATCACCTTTATTCTTCTCCTTTGAGGTCATGATTATTTATGTTATTAATTGTTTAATGTTTTTCTGTCGTTAAAATCATACTCTGAATAGGTGAAAAAATCAATTACTACTTCGCGAGTATTTTTGTGTTTTAATATTAGGCTACCAATATAGGGGCTAAGTTACTGGATATTTGTCTGTAAATCCCTCTAGATGACAGTCGTTTCTGGTCGAAAAGTTATGTCGGGTTTCATTGTTAGGATTAATGAACTTAAGATATTGAGGATTTTACAAACATTGTATAACAAGTAGAATAATACGATAAAGTTACCAAAGATATCTAATTTTCTCAGTTGTGTTAATTAGCTTCATTCTTTACAATAATTTTAATCATTTAAGAGGTCTGGTTGATATATTTCACTAAGTGTTTAACAAAGATTTAAAACTTAAGTGTAAGACGACTTCAGTTGACAGTTTTTATCATACAGCTTAATTATTGGAGATAGTGAGTTGACTTCGGAATTCATTCTAATTTATGTTCACTTTAATAAAACGTTCTCATTGCATAATTACGAATATTTGGAGGTTCTTCGTTGTTCTGTAAAGAAAAATGGTCAGCATAACGGTTAGACATCCATATTCCTCTTTTCTTCTTTAGTAAATATAACGCTTATTGCAGTCATTATTAATATGTCCGATATTCTTAATTTATGTTTTTACCTCTAGCATTCAACTGGACTGTGAGAGATACTACTCAGTGGTTAGTTAGTCTGGTGGATCTCCCTCAGTACGTTGATTTATTTCGTCAACATAATTTAGATGGTCGTTCATTACCACGGTAAATTTTCAATATTAATTTTTTTTACAAAGTCTGATTTGGATAAAATCTCATCAGGACTTATATTTCATTATTTATGTGCAGGAATCATGTGTTCAGTATGTCTTTACAGTCGTATGCACAGTGCCCTATTAAAATCCATATCATTTTGCGTCATTAATGCATTTACATTAAAAAATTTGTGTATTATTTTTATTATGAGTGCAAATGAGAACTGTTTTCCCCATTTTATTCTTCATGTAATTGTTGTAGTAGATTCAATCAGTCTTGCTTTTGACGCAGGTTTTTCCAGTGGAATTAGAATTTCATACTTTACCAATAATTCGAACACATTTCTTTAAAATAATATACACTGATCTTCATAATCTTCATGAATTTTACCCAACATTTCTCCTAATCGTTGTTGTGTAGAAATATTCGTTGAGTTATTAATTGCGGGAGAAATAATCACTTCAAGTTGGCCTCATTTAGCGACATGAGTTGTTTGTCAAGTTTATGTTATTCAAATAAAGCAACCTCCATGTTTATTAATTTCGGATTACCATTTTGTACAAACTAAGTGTTTTGTGCTCAAGATTGTAGGATGAACTAGCGCCTTCAACGCAAATATTGTATATAAAAACACCGGTAATCTAATGCTCGAATCCTTCTCATATTGTTTACTTTAGGGAAATATCTTTCTTGACCTTCAAGTAACTCAAAGTCTGGTATATTTACCATTCGGTTTAAAATATATTTAGAAAATGTGTTATTTCCATTAAACATGTACATACATGATCAATCATTGTAATTTTAGTGTACAGTGACACTTTTAAACCTTTTTGATGACCAAAATTCTACAATTCGAAGAGATCGAAAAACAATCTTGATTTTGTTGTCAGCATACTAACTGTTGACTGTCTCAAATATTGTATCAACGTATGTTTTATTATCTCAAAGTTGTTTTTATTCTAGTTGTTTAATTTTGCTGACTTTAAAAAAAACACTACAGTTCTGTTGTAAGTTGTTTGATAATGGGTCTAATTTAAAAATATTTATTCTGTGAACTTTTGTTGACAACCAGCCAGTATTTAATTTTACTGAGAACAAGTGACAATTGCTTACTTCATATGAAGCAGATTTTTTCCGTTTTTCCCCTACAGTAATTATGTGTGGTAGTTTTATGTAGAATCAAATTGGACTTGATTAGTTTTCAAGCTGATATGACATGGATCAGAATATTTTTCTTTATCATTTTTACAGCTTGGCTATGCAAAATATGAGCTACTTAACCGATGTCCTGGGGATTCAGAATCCGATACACAAGAAGAAATTGATGCTTCGTGCTTTGGATGTCATTCTGTTTGGACCTCCAAGACGTTAGTGAATTTTATCGTTAAATTAGATTGGTTTTATGATTTTTCATCTGACGTTTGGTGTGGATAGCTGGATATCATTTATGATACTTTCGTAGTGTACTGAAAAAATCTAACTCCTTTGAAGTTGAACTCATGATTACGATATAAACAAATAAATCACTCACCAGATTCTTGGGTGTAACCCACTGTTTAAGTGTGAGGGCTAATGATACTGCCTGATCTATCTAACCGAAGAAGGTGGGGCGGATTTTGAACCAGGCGCTTAGTGGCATAAATCGAACACTTCAACTGTTAAGACACCACTCGCACTTCAACTCCAATTCTTGTTCAAATTAGTACTGCTAGTTACTTAGCGTTGTCCAGATTATTGAAGAATGTAAGAGCTTACATATTAGTACACTCGTAGTAGTTCATTACTTCGACGATGTATATTTAACTGGTTATTAGTCGATCAGCATCATATCGATATGTCATAGCTAAATCACTCCTTCCAATTTATTTATGGCCTAAATGTCATTTCCCCTTCAAAATGTTTGTAAACGTGAGGTCATATATCTAGTATTTTGAGTCACTATACATTTCAGTAACCTGTTGAGTTATAGAGTTGCGTAGAAGAGTAAATATATTAGTACAGTAAATCCTATGTGGGATGGTCACATCTCGAAAACCAGACTATAAAATGTGAAGTTACAGTAATCGAAACCCTTCGAAGTGTATCAATAATCATCCGGATGCTGTTGTAAAAAACGATAATAAGCAGGAGGAATGTGTGTCTATCGAAAGAAGTTGCAAAGTATTTACATTAAATATACATATATATATATATATATAGCCTTCAATCATCTATTTGCATCTTTCGGTGTTCTACAATCCGAACTGTCTTCTCGATTGGCCCCCAAGTGTTTTGCTAACACCGTGCTTAGGATGCACTGAAACTTTTCTTTGCCCGAAAATTCTTGAAACTTCAACTCCGCGTCCCGACACATACTACTTACAAACATTCCTGTGAGTGTCGTCCACTACACTATCTCTTGGTAGAGGTTTCCGTGACGTGCATTACTTTAAGTAACTTGAGTTATGTATTCTAGTCATTAGGGCTAAATCACTAGGTAAAGTGACTTAGTCTCACGTGTATGACCTACCATTTAACTTCGATATTAGCGATCCTATGTCCTCAAGGGTTGTACACCATTTCTCAGGGTTAATTTCAATCAAAGTCGAGTGATTTTGCATTTCTTAAATCTGTAGGAATGAAACGTTAGGATAATGTGAATGTCAACATTGGTCGCTTTTTCACGCAACATCAGCTAGTTCTGCTTATTATGCAACAGTGGTCTATTGGTTAAGACATTTAACTTTCAGGTTTTCGCCCCGCTTCACCTAATTAAGTTTGAGCCATCGAGTAGTTTTATTAGTTCTCAAATTCAGAGTGTCCTTACACTCAAATTTTCTTATTTTTCGTAGTGCATCAATATAGTTTCAACTATAGAACTACATGATTCTGTTGTCTTTATTATTGATGTTTGGATTTCAGTAGAGTATTATATTTCAGATTATATTTAAAATAAATACTCATCCATTGAGACCCAACTACCATTTCAGCAGGAAATTGTAGTTGATGTAGGATCAGACTAGAAAAAACCTAGGAGCAGTTGAACAAATATATGAAATCAACTCAGTAACAGATTGACTGTTAGTTTAGGCCTTGATATTAAGTACAAACTGCTTGGTCGGGGTGTGTGAGAAAATTGTGATCAGTGGTTTAGGGTATTGAAGGACGTGCCTCGGAATCGGTCTAAGTGGGTCAAGAGGACTAAATTTACTTTCTTCTGGATTTTGCATTTCACTATTATTCCATACTTTTTGTTTCCAAAATTCATTCTTATTTTTTCAAACCACATTCTCTACGCTTAATTTTATTTACTATCGTTTATGTTACTATCATTTCTACTTCTTTGCTGTTGATCTCAACAATTTGATTGCGCCATATTATTAAGGTGTGGCAAATTGTAATAATGTACACTTGTGTCAGGTCAGACTTCGGTTATGACTGACTGTCTGAAACTTTTTGAATGTCATAAATTACTGACTTACATCCATAGCTAGATTTACAGGAAATTATAGTAGGTAAATTTGTTAATTGCTTTATTTTTCATTTTTTATCGATCATCTGAGAAAATGGACATAGATCTGCATCCATAAACACTAATCAGCTTTTGGTTTGAACATATTTAATCCAACCAAGTATAGTTTACTAGTTTATTGGAGTGAGGCATTTACCACCAGTAAATTTCAAGGGATTGTTTGTATTTAATCACAACCTATTGTGGTCATTTCCCACGTCTTCATTGAAATTATCAAATATAATAAAAAGAGAGCACGTTTAGTTTTCAAGATCACAAACCTACATTAATTAACCGAATAAATAATCTTCAACGTTCTGAGTGATTTCTCTTAATTTTTGTATAGGTAAAAAGTACATCAATTTACAATATTTTTCATTGATACTATTGAGTTTATTCTATTGGTCTTAAACTAGGACATCTCAATTTCAAAAACCTGATTCTTTCCAGTTTTCAACTGTAAGATTTATCCATTGGTTTTCGGGGTTTTTCGTTAGTTGGTATTTATAAAACTGTATCCAGGCTATTTTGTACGAATTTATGGTAAAATATGAACACAGTGAGATTCCCCATTTTCTTGATCTCAGAACTCAACGAATTATGGGTGAAAAGTTACAAAGATACATAAGAAAAACTTTTTTAAATTATGCTGGTGTTGCACAGGATGAAGCTGGAATAATCGCATCTTTTTCCACCTCAGTTTTAGAGATAACAAAGTTGTGAGAATTATCCAGGTAATCACTACTGAGTTGAAAGCGATCTTCGCAACTGCTTAACCTCTGTTACCTCAAACAAACTGCTCTCTGAAGTAACCAGTGGTCAGAAAGTTTTCTTCCACATGGAAATACAAAGTGTGTATAAAGTAGTTAGTAAAGGAATGGATTCAAATTTATTAGGCTATCTTAAATCACTTTTTATTTATTGACTTCAATCAAATAATTGGATTGCGAAAGATATTTGTCAGTTTGTCACTTGGAAATTTTAATTCCTGCCATTAATATGTACTTATAAGTTGTCATTCTCTTTTAACCTTTTGACCCATATATTGACAATCTACTTATTCTGCGCAATTTATATTTCGTTCTCTTTTTATGTTTTATAAATGTAATAACCTAATCGGTAAATGTTCTTCATATTACCTAATCACAGTTACCAATATTGATTATGTAACATTGTATTTCCTTCCAAATCAATCAATATTTTCCACTAATTCGTTTGTGAGTAGCTGGTGAAAGAAAATTAATTTGATCATCGTTCTTGTTGCGTTCACATTTGTGCAGCAAAATAATTATGTGTGGTGTTAGTGATTGGTTGTGTCTGTGCTGTAAGTGTTCATAACAAACAGGATATTTGAAGCATCATAAGCATTTCGCTACAAATAGTAATTGAAATACACTTGAATTTTCTATTATGTTTTTCACATATGGATCAATGAAACTCCATTTTTTAAAAATTGCATTCTCATAATCGTATGTCACGTATAGAAAGTGATTACGTAACGGTGGAAAACTCCGGTATTGAGATTTAGATGGTGGTTGGAGGTAGTCAACAGGAAACCCTGGACCCGGGTTTCGTGCTACTTGGCACTCGTCAGCAAGGTGTACATGTAATCTTGAGGGAACTGGTGCTCCCTGGCGGATTCGATCTCGTGTCACCCAGCTTCACAGTCAGAGACGTTACCACTGAGCTAACCGGTATATTGTCCTTTGTGCATTTACTACTAGAAATGTTTTTTATCTGAAAACAAACAAATTATTATGACCACGAATCGATCTAAGTTGTACAACCGTTGTAAACCTAAAGGCACAGGAGGGCTGATTCGTCCTACTGTGGAGGTCCTCAGCAGTGCGAAACCACGACCTTGAAACTGGGAATCAAACCTAAGACTTTCACATTCGCTCACCAATTTTTGACCTCTAAAACAATGAGTCAAAATTCAGTGGTGTGCAAGTCTAACTCCAGTCAATCTGCAATATTGCGCGACCATATTCCATTACATTCAGTGGGCACCTTTAGCACATCCAACACGATTTAGATCCACTGGCCACGGCTTTTCAATAGATGTCAAAGCACTATTGAGGATATTTTAGACCCTATATTAATTAAACTGGTTTCTGTGTGATTGTTACTAGTCGGTTTGTGTTCTTCCTTGAAAACTGGAATGATTAGAGATCAAAACCAGTCGGACAGGATTACTCACAGTCCATAGAGTCTAGCTGATATCTCAGTTCATCATATTTGTGTGAGAGCTGTGATACTGCCCGGGTGCCCAAACCGAAGCATGTGGTTATCTTAGGGGGCCACACCCCGAGCCTTTGACCTGAAGGTCTAACCCACAAGGCAGTGGAGCATCGTGAGGAGATGCAGTCCCATGGTAGCCGGTGACCAACGATTGGTTCATACGCCATTTGTTCCCTCAGGATACTGGAGCCCATGTGCACCATTGGTTTGGGATCCGGTTAAAGCGCTGGACATTCGCTTTTCGTCCTCTCATTTTCGTAAACAACACCCGTGGTGCGAGAAGGCAGTGTGTAGGACTTCCCTGGCGGAGGCTGTATACGCGTGGCCGTGTGAGAGTATTTCGAGAGGGAGGGTGGGCCCACCTAACTCTCTGCCACACCAGGGCATTTGAGGGCAAAATATGATGAACTGTCGATAATTATGGAAAATACTTTTCTTGCTTCGATTAACAATCAAACGATACACATTATTATTATTACTATTGCTTTTATTATTATTATCATTATTATTATTTACTACGTCATTTATTCACTCTCTTTTATTCCCACTCTATCTTTACTTTTCGACTTATATAGCAGCTCGTCTTTGGTGGAAATTCGGTTCTATCTAAACGTTTTCGAGTCACTGCCTGGTTGA